AGGCATTAACATTGTAACTCTAGAAAACAATAATGATATCCATACATTATGGATAATAATGATTATCCACTACAGTAATTGGTTTTGTTGAACTTTTGACAAACTTGCAACAAAAGCATTTTCAGCCAACGAAGAGCTACGTGTTTCTCTTAGAGCCATATATGTCTCTTCCTATACTTGGGGGAGAGCTAGGAAACTAGTTGATAGTTTTACAAAATTCCTTTAAAATACAAAAAAAGAAGTACTCAAATATAAACAAATAAAATTTTGAATTAAAAAATTAGAACAAAAGATTTTTTCCTGATATTTTGGGCCAAAAACACAGGTGCACATTACACATGGCAAAATATAGGGTAGCTTTTAATTTGTTCATAAAATAAAAACACCTTCTCAATTTAATGAAGACATTTTTGCCTAGGTTTATTGGTCAAACATGCTTATAATGTCTCTATCAAATGTTTTAAAATCATTTATTAGCTCTATAATGTTTTTTCATGCCTAATTTGTCTGTGAGCTTACCAAATATGCACTCTGAGGAAGGCATTCTCTAGCCAACAGCCGTGAGAGGAGTTGGCACTCTGACAGGACAGAGTCACGTGAACATGGGACATGAGGACGGGAACCAGGGGACAGAATGGAGGGCACACTCAGGGCTGCCACAGCCTTGGCCTTACGGTGGAGGCTCATTAGTAACCTCAGTGAGACCAGGGCATCTACTAGGAGCCAAGAGCTTAAAGTGGTACCACCAGATAGTTGCCTCCATTTCTCTCCTATCCAACTTTACCACAAAAGGGACCCAGACCCTTCATTACCCAAAGCACAAGGCAGCCCAAGGCTGTTGTGCATAATGGACTTCATTGAAGGCCTGAGGGTAACATAGCCTTGGCTGAAAGATAAAGCTTAAACCTAGCACCCAGGGCTCTAAAGAGCAGTGACCGGACCCCCTCCTGTTACCTCTCTCCAGAGCGTCCTATGACAACCCAAAATAAGTGACTAAGGCAAAGATCTCAATCAATGGAGGTTTATTCAGCCAAAGTTTGAGGAAGCACTTGAGAAAAACACAAGCCACAGATGCATCTGGGACTGGTGTTTCCTGAAAAGGAATTTGGGAACTCAGTATTTAAGGTGAGTGGCCACACAGAAAGAAAAAGGAGGAGGGGTGGGCAGTGCGGCAAAGGGTTGCATTCTTGTGAGACAGGAGAGCTACATTTTGTCTAAGATAACACAGACATTTAAAAAGATAAAGGGAATGAAGGAAGCATCAATAACGCAGCTGTCCCTGGGTAGGGGGACAAATGTTTGATCTCATCTCATCTCTGTTCTTCCCCTGGGAAGATAAACTTACTAATATTATTAGTGCAGACCCCAAGAGGCTTGAGTTTTAGGAGCTAGACTTACCCTACAGAGCTGAAGTTACATTTTACTTGTCCTTCTTTATGGGAGATCAGCTAAAAATTGCCTTTTGAATGATCGTGTGGGCAGTCATGGTAGGTGCTTGAGACCTTTTATATTTCCACAGATATCTGGCTGATACATAATGTTGTGACAGCTATTTAGCTGGAAGGGGGTGTTGCTTGACTCAGCCACCAGGCTTGCATAAGGCTTTCACTTTTGCATAAGGAGGATGGGCAGGGGTCCTGAGATTTTCTTTATATGTGTATCTCTAGGGTCCCTTATATCACATCCAATTTTCCATTCCCAATGTAGGACTCCCACCCATCCCCTCTCTCCAACCCAGGTTGGGAAGGCTGCCTTTGATAAGAGTACATGAACCTTTTAAAAACTTCACTCTAACACCAAGGGCCACATATTCCATGATCTCATTCATAGGAAATCTCTAGGATAGGCCAATCTATGGAGACAGAGAGTGAACTGGTGGTTGCCTAGGTCAGCAAAGGAGAGGAGGGGAAGGATGGCAATGGGGGGGCTTTCTTAGGGGTGAAGAAACAGTTCTACTGTTAGATAGAGGTGATGGTTGCAGAATTCCATGAATATACTAAGAACTACTGACCTATACACATTAGGTGAATCTTAGGGCATGTGCATTACATCTCCACGAAGCTGTTATTTTTATTTATTTATTTGTTTTTGAAACAGAGTCTCACTATGTCAACCTTGGTAGAGTGCCGTGGAATAATAGCTCACAGCAACCTCAAACTCTTGGGTTTAAGTGATTCTCTTGCCTCAGCTTCCTAAGTAGCTGGGACTGTAGGCGCCTGCCACAACGCCCAGCTATTTTTGTTGTTGTTTTTGTAGTTGTCATTGTTGGTTTGGCAGGCCTGGGCCAGGTTCAAACCCACCAGTCCAGGTGTATGTGGCCAGCACCCTAGCTGCTGAGCTACAGGTACCGAGCCAGATGAAGCTGTTCTTTTTTAAAAATCTCAATCCGTGTGACTAAGAAAACACAGGGCCTTCCTGAAAACAGGGACCTTGTATTTGCTTTAGGTCTAGAATGCCTAGAAGGTCATGGGAGTTGTTCCTGCCATAACAGGGGAGATTCTGCCTGGAGGACGCTCAGTGCTGAACCTCCCGGCAGCCTCACCTTATTTGGAGCACGAGATCTCCTCTCAGCAACCTGAGCAGCCGGCTCCTTCAGGATGGCAGGTTAGTCCTGCCAGAGAAAACGGAGACATCTGTAACAAAGACTGGCATCCAGGGGGCATTGGGCTGAATGTGATGAAGGGAGAAACAGGAAATAAATGAAGGACCGATTGAAACCACTTGGCAGAGCAGTGACAGCGTGTGGGATGGAGCCCTTTTCACTAAACAACCCCACTTACCTTCCATCCGTCATGCAAATCAACTGGCCTGGGCGAGGGGTGCAGGGTTCACTCTCTGAATTTCCAAGGGTTTCCACTGCTCCCCCCCCCACCCCACCCCCTCCAGCTTGCTCAGAGACCCATGAGCACAAGGCCTTGCCTTTGTCAGTCCTGTGGGCTTTTCACACACAGCAGGAAATAAATGACTCAAATGTTCCTTTTGGCTCAGTCAATTGTTTAAATGAGATTTCTCCCTTGGCTGCCAGGGAAGTGGGGTGGGAGACTGTTCCTTCAGACCCCTCCCCAGTTGGCCCTGGGTGGAACTAGACCAGGTTTCTGTGCCATTGTTTGTTTTACCAAAGGTGAACCCGGGCTGGTTAGGCCACTGAAAATCAGCTCACAGCAGGAGCAAAGAACCCTTCAGCTCACCGGGAAGCACAGAATGTCTGCGTCTCTGAAATGCTTCCAGAACAGAGGGAGCCTTGTGCAAGCCCCAGAACAGCTGGCCTTCCCAGCGGTTTGCCGCCCAGTCCAGAGCCCCTGGAGCTGCCCCGCAGGCGAGATGCCCAGAGGGAGGTAAGCAGCAGCGTCCCCACACCAGCCATCCATGGGGGACTTGTTTTCCCTGGTTTGCTCAGAGCTCAGGGACCAGGGGGGTGGGGGAGGTAGAAGGAGAAGGTCCAAAAACCACCTGGCACTGGGTTTTGGAAAATGACTTTGGAATCTTGCCTTGGTAGTGGGTCACCTTGGGGAGGTTTCCTGTCCTGTCAGGGGCTCTTGAGACAGCCAGCCCAGCCAGGGTGATAAGGAGGTGACATAACATGTAGGAGACACCTGTACTGTATCTGGCACTTCCAAATGTTATTCCCCAGCCCTACACCGGATCACACTCAGGCCAGCACCATCTACCTTCCACCCCATTCCCAGAAACATGACCGAACTTGTCCACCTCCGACCTGGGTCCTCTGTCTACTGGCCTTTCCAAACCCTAGCACCCCACGGGGTTAGGGGCAGGACATTGAGGTTAAGAGGTGAGGCCGTAGGGCTGGCCCCTCCAACTACCCAGGGGCCTTCGGGAGGGTGCTTACTGAAAGGTTCCAGACCCAAGGATAAAATCATTGCGAGACTCGAGATGAAAGGAAGACAGAGATCCAGTTTGTGCAATTCAAGTGGCTTTTATTCCACCGAAAGTGCAGGTGGAGTGAGATTCCTGACTAGGGAGCAATCCACAGGTGGGCTATGGTGGACGGGGATTTACAGGGCGAGGGCAGCCAGGATTGGTGGCATTCCTATTTCCTGGGAGGGGCATGAGTCTGACCCTTCCCGGGCAGGGCAAGTTTATTTGGACAGGTATACCTGATTCTATCACTTACCTCCTGCCTTTCTTCTCTGCAGAGTGAGGCCACCACAACCCCTCCATCAGAGGCTTTTTGCGAGGACAGATGTGCTGCACAAGAGAAGCACTGGGGAGCCCACAGCAAGCCCAGTGACGGCCACACAGCCAGAGGGTGCGGCCTTCCTGCCTGGCATCTCAGCACCAGCCACACGTCACAGCATGCTCATCTGCCCTGTGCATGCCTGAGAGCACACCGACAGCCCCTGGCCTTCCACGGCCAATCACTAGCCTGCACAGGGCCCAACCTCCTCCTGGAACCAGGGTGTTCTATCTGGGGATGGGGGACTGGGGCTTGGGGGGCTCATTGACATCACCTTCGTGTGCCCTAAAGTGGCTCTTGGTCATCCTCAACCAGGAATCCACAGCCCCTAGAGTCCTCAGCCCTTAGACAGACTTCAGGGGGAATAAAAGCCCTCAAACTCTATGCTACATGGAGTTGTGGAGGTGTGACAGTGAACATTTTGGAAGAGTCCATCTTTGTTACCCTTCTCTGCTTTATTTTCTTAAAAGCATTTAATTCACTCTGTAATTCTGTCTCCTTGATTGTTGTGTCTCCACCACTAAAAAGTAAGAGGAAACCAAGGAAGTCCTCCCAGCAACACTGATAAGCCAAGCTAGTTGAACCGTGTAGGGGTGAATGACAAAGGACGCTGTCGACTGTGTTTCTTACAAGTGAAATAATGGGCCATGACACAGTCTGTCTCAAAACTTACATAGTGACACGTACATCCCCAGATCCTAAAACAGGGCCTGCCACATGATGGGTTCTCAATAGCTTTCGAATGAACAAATGAATGAATAACCCAAAGGCCAAGGGCTACAGATCCCACCCTGCAATGAGGATCTGGGCAAGGTGCCCCTCCTGGGGCAGGTCTGGGGGTGCAGGTCAGCTGGAGCAGAAATGGTGCTCCTGGGTTCAAGTCTAGTTACGGGAGGGACTCAGGGAGCCCATGTGGATCTGCCTGTAAGGAATAGAATTTGCGGGCCTCAGAGCATAGTCCACTTATCCTAATATTTTCCAGAGGCAGGGCAGTGGGCCTCTGCTCTGTTTTGTATTGCTATGTAAACATGATGTCCTGAAACTTAGTGGCTTAAAACAACTTTAGTGTATCTCATGCTTTTAGGGTCAAGAATTCAGTCAGGGGCTGCTGGAGTGGGTGATTCTTCTGCCCGGGGTGGTACTGATCAAGGTCACCTGGCAGCATCAGTGGGACCTGTCCCCAGGAGTGCCCACACTGAGTCTCTCCAGTGCAGCAGCTCAGAGCTCCCCTAGGCTGTCAGAAGACCAGTGCTGATGCTGCCAGGCTGCTTTTGACCTGGCCTTGGAAGCCATGTAGCCTTGTTTCCATCACAGCTCACTGGCCAGGCCAGACTCAAGGGAAAGGAACAGAACTCCAGAACAGCATGAAAACCACTGGCATGGGAGACCAGGCACCACTGCCTCCCCCTGGGCTGGACTCAGGGATGGAGCCTGAAGCCAGGGACCCTGGGTAAGGCTGGGAGAAGCCCAAGTGCCTCCCCACTTTGGCTCTCCCCAGAACAAGAATCCAAGGACCACTAAGTGACCCTCAAAGAGTCACTTGACTTCCACTTGAACTTCCAGCTGATTCTATATTCTACTTCAATACCTCATCCAAGGCGAATTCTCAACAGAGAAGACATGTTCCAAGCATTACTCATCACCTGCGATGTCACTTACCTGGAATAGAGGGAAAGGTGCCCTGACCTGACACTGTCTCCTCTCCCAGGCTGCGGGGGCTGCTGCTCTACCTTCAACCTCCAACCCCCTCAGCCACATGAACATGCCAATCCCTGAGAAACCAAGCTTGAAAATCAACAGTGGCTGGTTGTCCTGGCAACACTGAGAGTGACAGTTCAGGTGAGGGTGCCATCCCTGAAGTGCTTCTGGTTGCTCCAACTTCATTCATTGCAGATCGCAGACAGAATCCCAGGAAGGAGGCAGGTGGGAGGAACTGGAACACTCTGGAAGGGCAGCTGGGAACCAGGCCACAGACCCTGCCCTTTGTCAAAGGGAGGGAACGTGGCCTTCAGGAAGAAAGTTAGTAATGAGCTCAGGGAGATGAGGACCCCACATCTCAGCATTTCTTGGAAAACTGACAACCTCCTGGTAAAAAGTGAGGCCCTCACTTCTTCTCAACAGACCTCTTTAAAGTGAAGATGGAAAGAATGAGCTTTGAAAGACCTGGATTCCTTCAAAGTCCCCACTGGGAGGCCCGGGAAAAGATACTGAATCTCTCTGATCTCCTTGGTAAGATGGGGAAAATGTCCTCAGTACTACTGCTGGGAGGAATCCGTGACACACAGCACAGAGAGTCCCTTGCACAGTGCTCAGCATACAGAAAGCATCGGTACCTAACAGTCGGGAATATTGCTATCAGGTTGCTAATCCTGAGGCTGCTGCCAACGCCTATCTCCTTTGCTTCTCCCCCAGGCCCAGTGTAGGTGCACTGTTCCAGATCAGTACACATGTAAATTCAAATTTTCAAGTGGTCACATTAAAAAATGGTAAAAGAAACAGGAGAAATTCATTTTGATATATATTTTATTTAACCCAATATACAAAACATATTATTTCAACATGTAATGAATAGAAAAATATTATGAGATATTTCACATTTTTAAAAATATTAAGCCTTAATAACTGGTATGTACTTTACATTGATAACACATCTGATCTAGGGGCCAATCACATTTTAGTACTCAATAGGCACCGGTGACCAGTAGGACGTGCACGGGACAGCCCAGGTTGAAAAGGCACCGGGTGGGCCCTTCCTTGTGGCCTGGACATGGGTAGGAGTCTGGGTGGGGTTAAGGATATAAGAACCCCCTCTGCAGAGATAATGCCACCCTTTTCTGCAATTCTCCCCTGCTGAGATTGAAGAGAACAGAAAGAAAGACAAATTACCAAGAAAACAAATGGTTTATTTTTCTTTATGTCAATAGCAAATTAATAATCATCATCATACAACACCTTGTCTCTCCTGACAGAAAGCATAGTCTTCATTTGTATAAATAAAACAAGCTTTGGCTCTGACGAGGGGCCAGCATGATCACTAAGGTAACTGGGTACCAAACAGGACATGGGGGTAAAAGGAGTGTGGAGATTACCTGGTAACTCTCTGCCCAGAAAACAAGAGCTGAGGGGACCACAGCGATGGGGGCTGCCCTGTCGTTCAGACCTCTGGGCTCACTTGCATCAGCCCAGCACACAAAGTTGGGCATAAAAGATGGTTAAGGAAAAAAAAGCCTGAGAACAGACAGAAATGGAAGGAAGCAGGATGGCTGAAGAAACACCTTATCCTCTCTGCCGCTTGCTGGTGTCAAAGCAGGAAAAGACTTGAGATTTTAAAAACAACAGGATTTGGAACACGATTTGAAAAACCAACAAAAACATCCTTACTAGAGATCTCTTAAAAAAAAAAAAAAAAAAGATCTAAGACTTTTCAGCAAAAGTTTTTGAGGTCAGTCCTGCGGGAGGCAGGGGGGCCTGATAACCGCTGGTTCCTTCCAGCCTTAGGAACCTCCGCTTGCTTAAATGGCACTTGGGAAGACAGGCATAAGATGACATTTGGACAGATGTCACTTTCTGCAAGTGGAGAAGAACTGGTCTCAGTCGTAGAGAGTTTAGGGGAAGCTAAAGAGTATTCTATTTGGCTCGGTGCCTATAGCTCAACCGGCTAAGGCGCCAGCCACGTACACCTAAGGTGGCGGGTTCGAATCCCCAGCCCGGACCCGCCAAAACAACA